CTTGAGACAGTTTGCATTAATGCGCATTCTGGCTGCAAGGCCTTTAATATTCATTCCATAGACTATTTACAGTTCAGGAGTGGGTAGAATAGTATGAAATACACTGCTGGAGTGCTGTGGGTGAGAGAAGAAAATGACAGTCGCTTTGGGGTATCGATTGCCTCTTCTTGCTTTTAAGGTTCTGATCAGCCTTCAGGGAGCTGCTCAGCAGCTGAGGACACCCAGCAGCTCTCAGAGGTTGCTCTACATTTTACATGCCCTGCAGGGGTAACCCTAAAGGTCTCAGAATCACTTTTTTTTAGTTCATTCACGCTGTTGTCACCAACTACTGTGTTGAAAAAGGCTTTTTTTATTAACGCCACTGTGTTCTGTGCCATTAATAGCACAATTCATAGTACATGGTAGACCTATAACCAGATCAATACATTTACACTGTGAAGTTCCCATGAAATGTGACATAAAAATAACCATAAGAGCCAAACCAACATGGTTTATAACATTAACTGATGACTAGGATACATATGTAACAGGGTTACAAATATTATTAAACAGCCTAGGCATAAAATCTGTTTGACACGTACCTTAACTTTAATGATTATCCACTTGTCAGAAAGCAGAGACTAGCCATTGGTGAGCAGAACCTTGCAGAGCCGGTATTTCTCTTTTATATTGCTCAGTTTTCCTACCTTGCATTTTTATACTGTTAACAGATGTTTTTTCTTCTTTGTTCCTACAGAGAGCACATGGCACCTCTCTTCTCTCCTAAAAACGTACACCTACACTGGCCGCAAGATTTTAGCCTCTCCTTTAAAAACTAAAAAGGTTACTCAATAGGAATAAATATTCCCATAACATAACATAAAAATAAAGGTAAAGCCAATGGGACTACAGATAAGAGTTGTTGTAAATAATACTCAACTGTAAACTTTGGAATTTCAGAAATCATTGGGGTTTTTTCACTCTTAGAAGGCATGGAACTATATTACATGCTTCAGAGTTATATATAAAATGAAATGATAAATCAGATTCATGTTAAGATATATGCATTGCTAAAATACTTTCAAGTATTGATCCATTGTGTACAGCTGAGGAGAGAAAGAACATGCATCCTATTGCAGGAAACTATTGTGCTTCCATAGCCACCAAAGGACCACTGACAGAAGGATAAAATTCCTTTATCAGATAACTAAACCTCAGGTTTTCTATGACAAATGTTTGGAAGATGTTATAGTTTGTTATAAGTCATGGTCTGGTTAAAATGATCCATTGAAGGTTCCCCATAATGTTATTTGTTATTTACATTTTGAGGTATTTCTTTATGAGTTTTATTCTCATGCAGGTAGATGATAGCATTAAAAATGTAATAAAAAGCATTAAAACCTTTTCATGTTTCCAGACCTAACTTAGTCACATTGGCAATTTCTGGATCAGGCCATGTACCTGTCTGCTGCTGAAAAGATTAATTGTGCCGCTTTATTTAATGAAACAATCTGACTAATTTCAATGTTTGACATAAAAGCAGAGAAGGACTGTCCATTTCCCCAAGGGAAAATTAGGACAGGCATCACCAAAGTTCTGTTCAGAAACTGATGTCTGCAAAATACCTTCTACTGGGTTAGAAAACTTATTTTCATCAGCAAGATCTAGGTAAGAAGAGTAAGAATGAGAAAATTCCTTTACACAGATTCTTAATTCAAACATCCAATATTATACCCCAGACATTAGGTCTTGAATAACGCTGACTTGACCCTGCAGGTCACCTCTATGCCAGATGCTGTCTAGAGTAAGATGGTTCCTATCACCTTTCCCACACCAACAGGTTCTTGAAACTACTGTGTCATTTAGTCATACTTCAGGCTGATTTGGGTGAAATGCTTTCCCAGCCCAGAAACCATTTAAATACTTCTCCTCTGTGAAGTACTGAGGGAAAACAAATGCATAGCTGGTTCATCTTCTGCATTCGTTACTTAGCGAGGATCTGAAAATGGAGGAAATTTTTATTTTATTATTTACTGTAAACTATAGCAGTCACTTAAGTAAGATATTTTATTATAAAATGCTTCATTAAAAATGAATTACTATTGAGCTTCCTAGATTAAACAGTGTTCAGAGCACTGTTTGTACTTATATGCAGAAACTGGACACTTCTGATCCCATTATGAAAATGTACTTGACCCTTATTTTTCTTTTCTTATGAGGCCTGAATTTTAATGAGGCCCTGAAGTCCTCACCCATGCCAGTACACTGCATTTCCTGTTCCCGCTTTTGTTCTCATGCAGCATTTGGTTAAATACTTCAGCTGAATATGAAAGAGAGAGCACTGCATAAGTCTGGTTCCATTTTTTGACAGAACTTATACAGAAAGATTTTTATCTTTGTTATGAAACATTTATCCTTATATTTATGTCTGTGCTATATAAATGATTAATATATCAAAGGGAGATTAGTTGAAAAGTGCATCTCAAAGACCATCAGCAACAGTTGAAGTGAATCAAATGTGTAAATTAAAAATATGTTGTTGCTAAGTGGAAAAATGAAGAAGTCGAGGCATGATTAGATCCTGCATCAATGACTTGTATTTTATTTTGCTTGGTGATACTCGTAAGTAGCTCCATCATTGTGAATGGAGCTACACTGGATATAAACCACAACCCTGAAAACTGATCTCCCAGCCTTTCCTTTACCTCTTCACCAGAGGTCTCTGTCCTGTGGGATGCATGTGCCTACACCCAGCACAGGGTGCTACAGGACTGGGACCACCTCCCTGTATGCCTCTGGAAAGCCTTCCTCTAGCAAAGGTTTCCCATTATTGCACTCTGTTTGTAACTGAAAAACCAGAATTAAGTCTTCTGCAAGAATGATGCCATACCATCTAAACTGCCTGACAAGCAGGCAGCATGCAGGCAGCAGACTCAGAGCAAACACGCCTTGCTATCACAGCCTCTTCAAGGGAAAAGCTATACATAAAGTCTCTTGTCCTTCACCATGTTGCTAATTACAGTTTAAATGGTCATCTGTACTGCACCTTGTAAAAATTGCAAAAGTATCGTTCTAATCTTAATTTGCATTAGAATATTGGTTGTAAAACTTCAATTACATTAAGAAATTTCCCACAGAATAAAAAGCTATCTGAAATCAGAGGAGCTGTAGAAGGGGTGTGTTTTGTAAAAATATATTCATAAAATTTTATAATACACTTATATACATATACACATACATAGATGTATGTATACTATATATGTATGTATATATAATTTAATTATCTTTTATGTGCATTTCTGGGGTGAATTAAAAATGTTGAGTGTCTAATTCTCAAAATATATTTTATTAATTAGATATTCAAATATTCTCTTTAGAATGCAAACTGTATTGCTGTTCTCAAATCAGTAATTGAATTTGTATTTTAACTGGTGCCATTAATGAATATTTACAAAAAGAAACACTGATTTGGAGAAATATTTTAATAATTTACTAGAAAGTAAGAAAAACCTCTCTCTGCTGATTGACCTCTTAAAAATATATTTACCTTTTATTATTTCTTTAAATAGAAATTTAAATATGTTTACTCTAATGATTTATCAATACAATGTGTTTGCAAATAATATTTATTAGTAGCATTTACATCTTCTATAATGTTTTGCATCTTTTGAGGCAGGAAGGTAAGTTTTTTTATCTTCATGACTTTACAAATTGGGGAGAATTCTGAATTTTGCATTTGCAAAGTAACCTTATAGCAGAAAGGTATTTCTTAGTGTTTATATTCTTAGTGCTTCAGACACCTTCTGCCTCATCAGAATCTTCATGTGGTTGTAGCTGAAGTAGTTTCAATCATAGAATCGCAGAATCATAGAATATTTTGGGTTGGAAGGGACCTTTAGAGGTCATCTAGTCCAACCCCCCTGCAGTGAGCAGGGACATCTTCAACTCAGTCAGGTTGCTCAGAGCCCTGTCCAACCTGACCTTGAATATTTCCACAGATGAGCCTTCCACTACCTCCCTGGGCAACCCGTTCCAGTGTTTCACCACCCTCATTGGGTTAACCCACGGTTTCCAGAACACACTTCCTAAATTAGAGGTCCCAACAGAAACTGAATATTTAACACCAAGCTCTGGACAGCTGCATGTGCTTGGGAGGACCAGGGGGAACTCTGCTGAAGATGCAGCAGTCCCCCTCTAAGTGCAAAGCACCCTCCACATTTCATCACAGAAAGGAAAAATAGAGTTCTGAGGTAGAAGGCTAGGTGGTTTGCGCAGGACCAGGGAGGGGAAATGACAGCAGTGATAGAATAAAAAATGAAGCACTCTTGTCTCCCACACTCTGGGCCTTTATGTCATTGATTTTTTACGTAGATTTCCCTACTAAAATTAGTGGGGACTTATTTTTAAATACTGAGGGCAAGACATAACCTATAGTCTTTATAACTGAGAGGTTTCAGAAAGGAAACACTTCAGAAGCACTTGTTCTGCTGGATTCAGCCTAAAAATTAAGCAGTTAGTTGGCTAAATTATTATTATTTTGCATTGCCACTATTCCCAAAGATGACTCGTTATCTCTGTTGAAGGCTTCATCAGCCTGAAAGATGAGTGCAGAAATAGAAGTCCTCTGGAGGAGCAGCAGGCTCTGCTGTAGAACAGCTATGTCTAACACTGTCACAATAATTTTCTGGTGTGGTTTGCACTGATTCAAAATATAGGTATAAAATGTCTGCATTTGAATAACTGTTTTTGTCCCATGTCATACAGCTGATTTATAATATGTGTCACTACACTGAATGTTGGTTCATACAATAAAATCATGTTTGAAAATCTGCAGACACAAATTTAAGTGTTTATTAAAAGCTGAGCATAGCAAAGTTAAGTCGATGTTAACTGCCATGATCACTTGCCTGACCCTTACCAGCAACTTCCAGGTATGTTTAGGAACATATTGCATGAGACAGTATGTGACTTTTGAGAAATGTCTACACACAAGCTTTCATAAACCTTTATTCTGTCTTTAGAATTTGGAATGATGGGAGATCATACAATTAAAAGTCAGCGACCTCGATCTGTTCATGAGAAAAGGGTCCCTCAGGAACAAGCTGATGCTGCTAAATTTATGGCACAAACTGGTAATACATCAGTTACATTTTTCTATTTACTGTTGTTAATTTTAGCAAAACCACTGCATGTTTCCATAATCTTTTGCTGCATATTTGTCAGTTTTCTAAGCTGATACTTTTTTTGAATCATTTATTTTTTTTTTCACCAGTTAAAGTCCATAAATAAAGTAGCTGAGAACTAGGTAGATCATACAAAAACATGCACTGTGAATGTGGATACTGAATCATTTAGTATAAGCATGAATTTCTTTAGTAGTAAAAGCGGTTTCACACGTACAAGACACAGGACAGCGTGCTGTGACATACTAACTTTTTTTCAAGGAAGATGTTAAGAACATGCTTCAGAATTTCTTTATAAGTAGACTGAGGTCTAATCCCAGCTTTAGGCATTTATCAAATTAATTAATTACTAGGATGACTTTAATGTGCATACATTCAGCATTTACTATCTTTGGCCCAACACAATGCTCTATTCTCTAGTTTCCAGATTCATAATTGCTAAATGAAATTGGCTGTAAGTAGTTTTTAATTGGATGTGCAAATTATCTAACATTTTTTCATCTAAAATGTATTTTCTAATTTTGTTTGAGCAACTTCATCTTCTTTAGATAAAGATACCAATATGATATTACAAACCTAGAGCTGAAATAAATTAAAAAAAAAAAAAAAGCACCTGTTTACCAACAGTTACCACAGCTACCTTTGAGGTCAATGATAAAATTGACTCTCATACACCAAAACTACTGCCCATTTTGACATCAGTTATGATCTGTGTATCTGCTGGTAAAATCTAATTTGTTAACTGTTCCCTACATACTCCATTCCAGTAAGTTACTGTGTTGAAGATCTTGTGCCCCTTAATTATTGTATGGATTTGAAACAACTTACTCTGTATTCCATAGTTACTAACCTAGAAAATATGCCTGCATCAGTCATACATAATGCTTCCAGTTTATATTCACTTTAGTAAACGAGCTACAATTGCTTCTAGTTATGTTGCATGTTGACTTTCTTAGTAGTAAGGTGCTTCACTTAACAGATTTGCAGAAATCAATATCTTAAGTAATCTAAATACATAGATAGCCAATCAGTGTAGATCTGTTTAGAAAACAATTTAGAAGGGGGAAAAGTCTGTTTTCCTCCTATTAATCTGTAGGACTACTTTTATGGCTAACTCCCAGCTGATACTACTGTAAGCAAATGTAGTGGAAGAAGGGAGCCTAGAACCCTCTTGGGCTCCATGCAGGTTGTTTTTAGACAAGTAGAACTTACTACTTACATACCTAGTTCAGACTTATAATGTTAGTTACTTACTACCTAGAATAACACCTTTGCTTTTATGCTGCTTCTTGAATTCATACAATTATTCCAAAAAATAAGTAAAATGATCTATTTCCTCATATAAATCCCTAAAACTTTCATATTATCAGGTAAAGCTTGTATTTGATAATTTCTAGTGATGCATTGCACTGCATCTATTATGGGTGTTCGAGAACTGCATTATAAATGCAGCATTTATACCATCACCTTCTGATAGATTGTGTGTGTGGAGTGGGAGATGAACGTTCAAAATTTCAAAATTATGCAGGCTTGGTTTTCAAGGTCCTGTTCTGAAAGCATGAGAAATGTATCAGCAGAGCATATAAATTTACATGTCCAGCTTTGAGGAAATCTATATTTTACATACTGTAGGAAAAAACGTTTTAAGTAATACTGCGCTCTTTTTGGACATACTAATTTTCATCTCTTCCTCATTTTGATTTTCTTTGTAGTGGTCATTGCATATTTTCTTCACCTCTAATGCATTCATTTTCTTGTGATACAATTAATGTGATATCTTCTTAAACTGATTCATAAAGTTTTTTCTAACATATCTATCTCATGAATTTACCCATGTACTAAGAAGTCTAATAGCCTTTAAAGTAAATGGATACTGGGTTTATGAGGTTTCTTATATTTTAAGCCTGTTTAATATTTCATTTTGTGTAATAATAAAACAGATGCAAAAGTGCAACAAAATGTTTGCATGGTTTAAAAAAGCAGAGAGACAGGAATAGAGAATTGTCCCAGAAAAGTTTTATGAACAGCAATTAATACTGTTAGAATAGTGGACTTAATCCACCAAATTTTGCTGGGAATGGAAGAGTTTTAAACTACGGTATTAAAATATTTTCCTGCTTGTTTGTGAGTGTTATGAGGCAGTAAAACATTTGATTTAAAAAAAATATTTTGTGAATAATTTATTTTCCTATATTTGTCATTTTATGTGTTTGGACTGATCCTTCCCTTAGGTGTTATGGGATTTAGAGAGTATAAACAGGTAAGTGTTACACAGATCAATGAGGCCTTCCATACAGTAAGTTATGTTTCCTCTTACATGTCAAGCACCAGGGGAGAATAAGGGCTTGGTGGCTTGCCAATAGTTAATTTGAGGTTAATTGTAGGTTTGATATGATAGATATAAAAATTTAAGAGTTCTCAAGTAACTGAAAACTAGAAGGAAAATAAAAAGTAGCCCTTTTGAAACTTTCATTTCAGAAAAGAAAAAAATGTTAAAGAGATAATGAAAACAATGGAAGACGTATTGGCAGGTTACACAGGAAATCTAGGTTTCTTCTAGAAAATAAGGAAGTTTTTATTTGCTTAAATTAAAACTGCCATAGCTATGGTATGATATACCTGTGAAGAGGTTTCCCTTCTTTAAAATATTTTAAAATATGTAATCATCATACTGACAGCAGTACAAAATACTCTGAAAAATTAAAAATTACCAAAAAATAATGCATTGTGCAAAAGGGAAACAAAGTAGCTCATGAGATAAATTTGGTCTTGATTTTCTCTGATTTCACTCTTTTTGCACCATATATCATGTTAGTGTGGTGGATCTTGCTCCAGCAAATATTTAAACCTTCTGTCCTTTACGTATGTTGAAGTATATTGCTAGATTCTGCCTTTTCTGAAAGGACAGTATATATATGCTCAGAATTTTTAATATCTAATATTAAATTAATTTCAAAATTCACTCAATACAATCACTCTTCTTAGTATCATGTTACTGCTATTTTTCATCATATTCCAAGGGTTAAGGGCAACTTTTTATCACTTTAAGATTTTAAAGTGTTAATATTTAATTTCTGTGTTGGATAATGGACAATTTACACTGAGTATATATGACTTTTACATAATGAAGAACATCTCAAGAAACATAGCTTTCACTTTCTCTGCTGTTTGACCTTTCATCTAAACCATTTTAACAAAGGCAAAGTCAAACTTCAAACATGCAGAAAAAGACAAAAAGTATTATCCTAGAAACCCATAGTAATACAAGTATTTTTACTATGTACATAGGGCTTATAAGTATATATTGTATAACTGTTACTGTCTACTTAGATATTATCTGTATTCACCATATTATATCACCTAACCTGAACCCAAGCCATATAATAACCTAATCAAAATTCTAAATTCATGGCAGAAAAATTATTAAAACAATAATCAGTCATTAATTTTCTCATTTTTCACTTAATAAATAGAAAAATTACTACAACAATCACTCTGGTGAATTTTTGTATATAAAAAAAATTATCATTTTATCCTTGTCCATAGAAATTGTTATAACTGTATATGCTTTTATGAAAAGCAGAGGTATTTGTGTGCTAATTATAAAGCATTCTGTCTTGTTACTGAATAAGCAGCACTTTTTTTTTAAAGCATTGAATAGCCTTAGAATTGCTTCTTAGAGGACTAGCAGAGGCAAGCATTTTGCAAAGGTTTCATGCTTGGCCTCTGGAAACAAAAAAAAAAAAAAAAAGAGCTTGGACAGATGCTTGCTACAAAAGCAGTTTCAAGAAATAGTATATAATTTACTGCATTCTTGGAAGATAGCACCAGGGTCTTCCTGGGTTGCAGCCACTTCCTTAACTGTGACCAATATCAAAACTTCTGGAAGCCTAGAGGTATGCTGAGATAACTGACATTTTAAGCAAGCTATTCAAGACTGAAGGTTGTATCATGCCACTGATTTTAAAGCAGAAAATCCCATTTGTTTCAAAAAGGACTTAGGTTTAAAAATCAGGGGTGTAAGAGAGGCTTCAGCATGCCCTGTTATATTGATTTTTAATGGAAGAAGGTAAACATGAATCCACAATTATTTACTCAAATTGTTCGGTGAGGTATATTCACATTAGGTTTGCATTTGCTTTCTGAGAACACTCAAGGGATCCAGTTTTCTGATCATGAATGCCTTTGGGAAAGAAATTCCAGAATGGTGTGTATGGCGGTTCATGGAAACTAAATTTAAGCATTTTTTCCTGAACATCCACGCAAGAAGACTTTATGCATTACTCACTTTCAGAAAAATAGAAATAATAAAATGTGCTACCTCTCAACAACAACAAAAAAATGCTATTCAAATGTATGGTATTAATAAATTACTTCTGACAATTTTGAATATAGTGGTATGTACTATATGCAGTAATGAGGTCTAGTGCATCCAAGAGTTTAGCACACCTATAGGTCAAAAGCAAAGAGCAGATCTGTGCAGTAGATGACCAAACCAAAGTTCCCATCCCACCATTCAGGTTAAAATTTAGTAAGCAAAGTGCTTCTCTTTGCCGGGGAGCTTCTCTCAAATGCTAGATGACGCTCCTCCACTGAAAAAAAGATAATAAATTAGGGGATTGGTTTGTTGGTTTGTTTTTTTTTTTAAAATCAGAATTCCCTTACTGACAGAGTTCCTTAATCTATTACCTTGCCTTCATTCTAGATTTATAAGTATACATATCAAAGATAAATCCTTTGCTATTATATAAAAAGAGTTGTCTATGTTTTTTTAGCATCGTGAGGGCAGTGTTGTTTCTAAAACGTTGAAGGGCAGTAGCTCTTGAAGTGTTGTAAATGATGCTATGCGATCAAAGCGTTTCCTTGTGACAGGCGTTATGTGACTGCAGCATTGTAGGTGTCTTTATTTTCTATTCATTGCACATTTTCACAGCTGCTTTATTCCATGAAATTTTAAATATTTATTTTGGTGTGGTACTTTTTTCTTTGATTTATGAGAGCAGACTATAATCAGCAAAAAAAAAAAGTCTCACTAATACTTATGTCTATATTCATGTTTGTTTGTTGTCTTGAATACAGGTGAATCTGGTGTTGAAGAGTGGGCCCAGTGGAGTACGTGTTCAGTTACTTGTGGTCAAGGGTCGCAGGTGCGAACCAGAACTTGTGTATCACCTTACGGGACACACTGCAGCGGCCCTTTAAGAGAATCAAGGGTTTGCAATAACACTGCCCTCTGTCCAGGTAGTGTTAGCAGCCAATAAATAAAATTGTGGATGTTTTTGAACTGTATAATGATAAGAATTTGAAACTATATATTTTTTTAATTATTATTATTATTATTATTTTTAACATGAATTTCGTAAGGGCATTTCAATTAGAGCAGAGAAGTGTAATTCTATTCAGCTGTGAAATTTTTGCATGTAGGTTGTTATTTTTACTTTCAGAGCAGTCAAGATATGGAACAAGAGTCCCTTTTTTCTGACAGTGTCAAGTTTTTTAAAAAAGTCTGTATTTTCTAATTTTCACTCAGAAAGGAGAAGGCATAGCATGAAAACAAAATACAAGCTAGGGAAGAAATCGTAATCATCGATACATTAAGAAGCAGAGACTGATTAACAGGGTGGGTTAAGTTAACATACATTATTTGACACTGCAACTGTTTCACTGTGTAGAGTACTGTCTTCTAGGCAGTGGGCCAGACAATGCTCTCTGCACAGTAATGTCTTCATGGACTTTCCTTTACATTGTTCTGGCAAGAAAGGGCAACAGCTACCCATCAAAGGAAGAAAGATCAGACAAAAAGTAACTCTCTTACATCTGACACAGGTAAAGGTCATCAGTATCTTGCATCACAGTTTTCCTACTCCTTTTGTCTCAGACATCTGGATATAGTTGGAGTTCAGCAGTAGTTATACACTAAGGAGAAGAGACAGGCATGTTCAAGTTAGTTGCTGAAAGGGCACATCTCATTTCTTTAGACTCTACCTGTGGATCAGATTAATCTGGGACAGGAAGAAAAGGAAAGGCATATGCCCTGTGACTACATTCATTTTCCTCTGCTGTGTCTGAAACAGGAAACATTTATGCCTTCCTTCAGATGCACAGATTCCTCAGCTCTTTGTAACATTTGATCCCAAGAGGGTGGTGAGCCATCTTCAACTTCTGGGGAAGCTCACTCCATTTTTGAAGTAAACTAGACTGTCAGACACAGAGAATGTCCTGGACTTCATCTCAATGAGTAGTAATATGTAGAATCAGATGCTCCTGTTGTTACTATGTGTTGAAAAATATCCAACAGGAAGGGCATATGTGACCCCATCAGAGTCTGTGTATCAGATGCTTTATAAGCATTTAGGGAACCTCTGTAACAGAAAGCAACTTAAAAGATTGTATCTAGATAAACCGTCACTGCAATAAGAACTGCTGTCAGCACCTAATGCTTTACTACTGTGCTTTAGGTAACCAATTCACATGAGGCTTTCTAATATTTCAGGGTAGAAACCCCCAGGCAGGGATGAATTTGATCACTTGAAGTGTTTCCATACAAAAATAGCAGATATTTCTAAAAATGTTAGGCTAGCTTAAATTCTGCCAGAGGTGGGATTCATTGCAGAAGAACTCTCAACTTTAAAGTATAAAAATAAGAAGTGAAAGAAGAGAACTATAAAAGAATAAACCTTCCAAACAATCAAAGATAAAGATTCCTTTGAAACTGCCTGAAGTATGAACATGAAAACACACAGTCCAGCACTCACAAAGAGATGCAGTTCTGCCTTCTTTCTTGCTCATTTTGTATTGCCTAAGAAAAGGCAAGGTGTTTAAATCACCCAATTTTACAGAATTTTAGCTTCATTGTCTCCAGTAAGGAATGAGAACTTTTCATATCAAAACAAAACAAAAAAATAATCCATGTAATGCAAAAGCCAAGTTAATTAATTTGCTGTCAAAGTAAACTGGAAAAAAGTTATTTCTTAAGAATCACATTTAGTGATTAGTCTAGCAAACTTCTAAACAATGCTCATGCAAAAGACTGCTCTATATTTCTCAGGTCACAAAGGACCTCTTTCCTCACATATGAACTCCCACTACAGGGTATGGCTTTTGTTTCCAGATACCCAGTATGAGCAACGGTTACCAATTGTCACTGGATAGTAGTGATATTGTCAAGGTGTTTTCCTTTTCAGATCACCACAGCTGATTCTGATAATCTTTGTGTAACTTGAGTTACCTTTCCTAAATAATTAGTCTTCTGGGCTTAATCTGGCATGTTGTTTCACATCATTACAATAACCTTATTAATTTATTTTGGTCTCTGTCTGGCTACAAGGTCACTACTGTGTGGTCACTACAGTGTGCAAGTTTAGCAAATCAGTGCTTTTCCTAGTTACAGTTCCATTAATTTTTCAAACAATCCTTTAATTACTAGCCTAAATAGCTCTGTCCTCATTATACTATGTATCCTGACTCAAAGTTGCGTAGTTCAGGATTATTGCTGATCCATGCATAACAAAATGCATATTTTGTACACTAGTATTATTAAAACACAAGTTTGACAAAACAATCCAAACATATGCATACATCATAGCTGGGATCTGGCCTGTGTACCCAGACCTGTACCACTCATTCCGTACAGCTTTTGAAGTCTCCTTGTAACCTACAAATACAAAATCTACTGGGGCATATTCATTAAATGGTTGCATGATGAGTAAGGGAGGGGGGAATTTTGAGAACTGGAATAATGTTTCCTAATCAAAAAGTTGCCCCTTAAAAAAAAAAAGTATGCAGAGTGGCCTATTGGACTGTACTTCAAGCATCTATCTACAAGCTTCAAGAGAACCGATTAAACTTGAAAATACTAATGCAAGGCTTCCAGAGTATTTTCATGTATTGCCTTCATATACTGCCTTTAGTGTACAAGATACTCACTGGGATGTTAGGGAATACATCTCTCTGTGATCTCATTGTCCTGCAACATTTTGAGAATGGGATCCACCAGCTTCATCATTATATATATATATATATGTGTGTGTGTGTGTGTGTATTAGTATTGAAATAGAACTTTAAATTTAAAAGTAATACTCCTGATAGTTCAACTAAAATCATGAAGGAACCATTATTTACATAATTTTGGGTTTATTTATATTTGTCCCAGACTCCATTAGGTAATTCAGTCTCTCTTGGAATCAAGAGCCTTCTAGAAAAGTGCAGCACAGTAGGCAACAAAACATAGTTAAGGTAACCATTGTTGCTACTGGTTCTGTTGTGAGCAAGGACATCTCAGGACCTGGTACTGCAGTGCTGCTGATTCATTTCAGCTTAGTGGATCATTTCTAACACAGCTAAAACTTCAAGGAGAAAGAACATGTAATTTCCATGCCTGTAGATCATCTCAATTATTTTGTCCTTCTCCATTGCCTTCAACAACTTCTACTGCAAAATTTAGCTGAAGCTTACCATTTTTAGGCTTATGGATAAAGCAAGACATGGCAGGAGCAGGAATACCCTAAACCATTTCAAACATTTGTATGCTCAAAAGCTGTATTTTGCCTGGTATGATATGCTAAGACTGATTTAGTTACCTCCCTTTTTTTTTTTCCAGGCTCATTTCAATGAAGTGTAGCCATATTGCTGAAATATTACATATTTTTATCTAATCTGTGCTTTCATGATGCACTAAAAAAATTAGTACAGAGAAATTAGCCATATTTTTTAAAAATCCTGCAGCTTTACTGTTAGTAATCTATGCTCTGGAAGTTCAGGCCTTCACTTGAGAGGAAGAAAATGAGAGTAAGGAAAACTTAGGTTTTATAATTAGAAAAATGCACAGCAGAGGTAGAGTAGCTGTATGGCTTAAACATGAAGGTTAGAGGGCAGGTGTCAGAAAGTTTGCTGAGTTTAGATATTACTAATTTAAGAAAGATTTTTGACTGGAATATTTAAGCCACACTAAAGGTAACTATAGTTCTTAAGTGAGTTTAAATTTGTGCATACAAACCCTCAAATTTAATTTTAAAAATTCCTTTAAAGTAGCATCTACTTAGATGCGGTTATTCAACCATATTAAACTATGATAGCACTTACAATGAAACGTCAATGGCCATAACAGCTTTCCAATATCTGTTCGGTTTAAAGCTGAACAAATCAAAAGCATTTAAACCCCAATAAATATCTCCCAAAATATGCTTGTGGGATGAAGGCCAGCGTGGCCTCACGCCTCCTCCCACTTCACAGCAGTTGCATATTTTGAACACTGTGGGTGTTCACTTCAACAAGATTAGGTTCACAGAGTGGCAGAGAGAAGGGAAAGATGCTCTGCAGTAATCCAAACTCGTTGTGTTAGCAATGTTTTTGACAGATAGGTTGGCAATAATCTGAATATTTTTGTCCCAAATAATGAATCTTGCATCTGAAACTGTGTTATAGAAAACAGTAACTCCCTCTGTGGGCCAGCTCTCCATCTGGTGTAATTTGGCATAGCTCATCTGGCTATAATTCATCAGACATTATAGGAGTTTTTGTATTTATAAAATGGTATTAAAGAAGGAAAATGTAAATGAAATATCACAAAAAATATTCAAAGGTAAGAAATTTTAAATTAAGATGTTCTTTTAGAGCTGATCTAGATGATACTGGACACTTCAATGATGCATTGAACAGATGAATTCTCCTTGATTTTTGTTGGCTGACATTGGTTGTTTTCTTAGTGTTATGCCTTTTCCATCTTTGACTTTATTAGTTATCTATTAGTTTCAGTTATACGAGTCTATATATACAAGGTACTGTGGAATTTTTACTTAATGAGCTAAAATTTGTCACGGAAGATGATTTTGGACACAGCTTACTTTAAACCACAGGCAGACAGAGGCTGCTGTAAGTTTGAGTGCACCCAAAGTGAAGCGTTTTGTTTTGGCTTATGTTCAGATCCAATATCACAAAAGAATTATTCTGTGTTGCTGCTAATATGCAGTGACTCTTGCCAGAAGAGATATACAACCTTTTGGCTCAAGACTGTATCTTTAAAGAGCCCCTCAGCACATGTTATTGTCATTTTTAAATGAAGATAACTAACATATTTTGACAGCATTAAAACTCCAAATTAAATGTTAGACTTAAACTCTTATGTACCCTGAAAAACCTCAGCCTGTGTCTACATAGTGTCTAGAGCTTTCTAATTTATTATTTTTTACAGAACAATTTTTTCTAGTTTGGATTAATTTTGATTTGATATTTTTTGTACTTTTTGAAGTTCTTGTTGTTGCACCTGAGAATCTTGATCAACCATTGTGAAATCAGGAGACGAACTTATATTTTGATACTTCTGAATGCTGTTTGGAATACAATCTGACAAATCGGTTTCTCATATGATAAAAGATTTGGAGCCTTAGCGATACATCTGGATTCAGAATCTAATAAGTTACCAATGAGAAAAAAGTCTTCAGATCATATGGCTGGAGCAGAGTAGCTAAGTATAGCACCTGTTGAGAAAAGATGAAACGTAAGGGATTATATGCAGATATAGTCATCTATTTATTAGTTTTAGAAGAGTTAGGCTTCCTGGGTTTGACTATGTCACAGTTAGTCAAGGTTTCTAAAATAACTAGACTAAAATCTGTCACTTTAACATTAATTTGGAATGTTCCTGAGGGTTTGGGTTTTTTTTTTTTTGCTAATGTAAAGCAGATTGATGTGATATTTAGAATAAGATCATTTTAATAAAGCTAGCCATGTAGGATGTGGAATAATTATTGTTCTTTTTAACCACTTGTATGTGACCAACTAAAAACCTTTCATCAATTGAGCTGTTATCTAGTGGGTTAAAAACTTCCCTGAATGAAGCTTGACATTTTCTGTCAGGCACGATTTCTCACAAGTTAGCTAACAAACTTTTTACCTCAACATAGCATCTGAAATGACAATTTTCCTTACTTTTAATGAAATGCAATAGCACACACTTACATGTAGAATTCCCCTTGATCTTACTGATGATTTTGTGATCATATGCCAGGGAGCTGAACCTCCTTCAGCACCATAGGCAACTGAATTTCACCGCAGGGAATGTTATTCTGATCCCTACAAGAAAAAGGTTTTATTTGTAGAAACTGGGCAGGTGATACATGCCTTCAGGGCAAAGGAAACCTATACATGAGAAGTTCTTTCATAGTTATGAAAAAAAGTGAGGACAAAACAGAAAATCTATTTCTTCTGTAATGTTGTGAACCATTACCAATGACACACTGAGATGTTGTACACTATTTCACCCTCTGGACACCCTTCAAACAGACAGAGTTGCAGAAACAGAGTTATTGGATACCAAGTGCAATGCTCAGCCTGGGTACTAAGTCTCTGGATTTTGTCATTACTACATTCCTGTTCTCACATAGCCTAATTTATACCTGTGCAACTGCTTTTATTTAAGCAAAAGAAAAATAACTGAAGTCTGTTTTGCAGTATTTTTCAATTTATAAGGAACTGTTTTACCAATGCATGTATGTAATTGTCTTATCAGTACATGCTATAATATAAACTAAATATAAAACTACATTAGAGAACTTTCTGAAAATTCAACTCCAATTGTTTCTGAAAAAATAATGCATATAGTATATCAGCTCCTATGGATATTGTATAATAGTTTCTTCTGCAGCTGAAAAAAATTAAGGTAGAGAAACATATGCCTTCTATGATTCTTTCTATTAATTGTATGAAGTTCTTGTATATAAAAATATTGGTATGTGTTTGTAATTTATTGTGTACTCCGAAGGTGTTTGAAATATGTTGAGTGAACATTTTTAAGACAGTGATGCATGTATTATTGTGTATGTTAAATCAATTAATATGTTCACGTAAAGAAATAGCGCAAATATCTTTTGCTTATGTGCTCTTGGAATTCTTGAGGAAGATAATCAAGCACATGTGCTGCCATGTTTCCACCAGAATTTAAACAAGTGAAAAAATTGTGAGATAACAGCCCCAATTTCTGATGGTGACACAGTAAGAAATGATTACGTTTATTCCTATATTTTCAAAAGAAAGCTTAGTTCAAGTTTTTAGAGTTGCCTTGAGACATAAAGTGTATGCCTGATTTTCACAGAGATTAGTCTCCTGAAAATCAGGGCTATTAAACATATCTCAAATCAGGCACCAAAAATAAACTAACTTCTGAAAAGGGAAGCCATCTTTCTTAAAAAAAGAAAGAAAAGAAAATGTGGTAACATGATTAGTTTGAAGATTAGAGAAAATGGTTCTAAGTTAAATATGTTTTAGAAAAAATATACTTTTAAATTTGAAATTAACTAAATTTTATAAAGGATTTATTTGCCAATGCTAAAGATTACCTATATACTGATTTCCTTGAAGTTGGCAAAATAATTCCCATTTAAAATATTGATCTTGTTTATTTTGAAATCCTTCTGTTACTTGTGTGTCTGTTTCTGGTTAAAATCTGTTTGGTTTGTTGCAGTACATGGCGTTTGGGAGGAATGGTCACCTTGGAGTTTGTGTTCATTCACATGTGGTCGAGGCCAAAGAACTAGGACAAGGTCATGTATACCTCCCCAGTATGGGGGAAGATCATGTGATGGACCTGAAACACAACATAAACCTTGCAATATTGCACTCTGCCCTGGTGAGCTCATATAGCAACTCTCTGCTTTGTTACAGTGCATTTGGTGTGGGTTGTTTGTGATTTCTTTTATTGCCCTTTGCACACAGAAAAAAGAATGTTATGCAAAGTGAGTAAGCACGGTAATGTTCATAATTCTGACTGTAGTGATTTAAGGATATAATCAGGTTGGTAGCAAGTTTGAGATACTACACAAGCAGACAATTCTTAGTTTCGTCAAGATACTCTTTCTGTAGGGCGCAGTATATTGTGTAGGAAATCTTGACTCAGGATGGGTCTTGGAGAATCAAAAGGCAAACAACTTTCTGAGTGTGGCTTCAAGGGAAACATTCAGAGGTCACACAGATTGTGTCCACCATATCTGTTTGAATTATGTTCCCTTAGAGCTTCACTGTAATAATTTATTCATCATGCAACATATTTGGGAAACCTTAAAACTGTAATTGTTATTGATTTATTCAAAATGAATATTATTTACATATGTGCAGAGGGAAAGGCTGACACAAGCTAGAGCATTATTTGAACCCTAGTTAAGCCCTTATGGTAAGATTTTTAAGTGCCTCATTTCTGGTAGTTATTTGCTAAGCCACTTTCAAAAAACTACCCCTAACCAAGTGAACAATACGTGGGCTTCATGTTAAACCTTCTATGAACCTACCTGAAATTGAAACTAACTCAAAAAAAATCACCTTTCTTTCAAAATTGATGTTAACTTTTTATAGGTTATGATTAATTTAGACCAAAACGTTCAATATGTGTGCATGTATATATATATGCGCATATATGTATGCACATATATGGGTATATATGTGTATATATGTATGTATATAATACGTAAATACTACAGTGAGTTCAAGAACTATAAATTATTATTATGTACAGGTAATCTTTATGGTTATTGAACTCAGTGTAACACTTAGGTATTAAAAAGGTGTCGGGTAGCTGTAATCTGAGAAATTTGTTTCACGAGTTCTGTCTCACGGCGTGAAGGTTGCCCTTGCAGTGGGCTTGTTGGGCTTGTTGAATATCCACAGTTCGCAACACTGCTGCAAACATATTCTCTGTGACTGGAGCTCTTCCTGAAAAGGGTTGATGGACATTTCATTAGCAATCAAAGGTTGTTTGATTATTTGAAAATGGAGATGAAGGAAAAAATGTCACTTAGTGCCTCAAGAATTAAAACTAAATTTGTTAGATTTTTATTAATACTGAACTTTTCTTCTGGTCAGCAAAGCATACTCCAACTTTAAGACAAAATTTATGGAAAACTTTTAGTCTTGAATGCAGCTGAAAAATTTTGAATTAATCCACTTTTTGGCCAAGTTGGCAGCTGTGCAATTTTACATGTGCCTACACAAAAGTAATTAACATGATATATGAGCATGAAGCAGAGCTGACAACAAGAGAAATGCCAAATAAAAATAGCAGAGAAGAAATTAATGCATTCAGTTCACTTCAGTATTGCAAAGAAACACAAAAGATATTACACCTGATCTGTCAAAATAAGCAGTTATTTGAGAATTCGGGATTTTGAACAGTCATTTGTACCTAAATTACTTTCACCAGAGGAAGTTATATACTGGTTGCATTTAAAAGCAACAGTTTAAATCTTTGATGAATGTTAAGATTTGCTGTAATCTGCATGTTCAATTTTATAAGGGAATCTTCATGTTGAATTCTTTAGTCTCTTAACGGTATTTCTGAAATGGAAAACTCACATGCTATTTTCTCCTAAAGATAAAGAAGGGAGATGTATGAAATATATATGAGAAGCCACAGAATGAATTTTCTCCAAAGACACTATAATAATTGATTCGATCTTTCCTACCCTAAATAATACTATATAGCAATGAATAAAACTGAAGAGGGTGCATTGAAATGTAATTTCCATAATGTTTTCCTCTTCACATAAAGCTTTTATGATTAATGAGTGCAACTGGCTTCCATGTTTGGAAAGATTTCCATTTTCTGCTGAATAAATTATCAGGGTGCAGCTTCATAGCTTGAGAGGTATCTGCATTGAGAAGTGGTTCACAACCAGGCATTACATAGAGTATTAAATACAGAACTTTAGGAAAAAAGACTCAAAAACTCTCTTAGTTTAATTCACTGGTTGCTGAGATCCTGGGCATTAGAGACATAGATAATATCTTAGAACTTTTAGAAAGGTTCTGTGATTACTGTCAGGCAACAGTAAAATCGGTCACCTCCATATTTCACTGAACAGTGGTGCACTCATACAGACACAGTATGTTAAAACACTAACTTAAAGATTCTGCTTCCTATTTTAATTATTAACGCCATCAATGTAGGAAGCTGCTATTCCAACCCTTCTTCAGAAGAATCCTGAAATCGGTGTTTGGCAAGTGTGCCAAGTTACTCATTTTCAGCGGTGGTGCTTTTATGGCAATAGCAGTTATAAAAACAGGTTTTCAAAGATAAGTATTAATCAAAATTGTATTGCAACCTACATTTTGAGTTTATATTAGGTAACTGCAGGTGCAATGAGGAACTGATGATTGCTGAAGTCTGAACGCAGGATTCTGATTTAGCATGATCAGTAATAGCACATTTCATAACGCTTACCCATTTTCAAAAATACGGTCTAGTCCTATTATCTGTTATAGACCATATAATTTTTCACTAGTATGGGAATTTAATTGGTTTATATATTTTATTATTTTGGTTTTAAATATTTTCATTTACCTGAAGAAGCTTTCTGATTTACAAAATTAAAAATAAAAGTCCTGAACCTTTACTCACAGGAATATTCATCCAAACTCAAATGTATGGGCTATTATAAAATACTAAATACAGAACTGGTCACCATATCTATATTGTTTGAATATTCAACTTGACAAATTCAGAAAGAAGGTTATGCAATATGCAAACACGGAAGCAGACCTGAGGAGGAAGGCAGGCCATTTCTGTCCTCCTACATTTTCTCTCAAAAGAATGTTGAACTGGGATCAAATACCTTACAGGGAGAAAGAATGATAAAAGTATATTCAGCATTATAAGTACAAAGAACAGAGACTGTGTGTGAGGCAAAGTGGTAGCTCCTGTTTTCCTTTTCCTATTCAACTAAAGAGACCTAATTTCACAGTCAGGACCAATAATTTTATAAGATGACACATCTGAGTGATCGCTGCAGCTGTAATAAATCACTTTGAAGTGCTCAGGGTTTACATGACACAAGATTGGCCCCCACTTCTGTCTAAAAAGACAAGACCGGTCTTTTTAATAAGGCCTTGTTTTCTATAAGGCCTTTCAAACCATGTGGTATGCGAGCAAAATCATTATTTATCCTTTGTTATGTCAATGTACAATTAGAGGAGGTGAAGTGTTCTTTACTTGAAGAAAAAGGAAAACAGGTTTACGTTTTTTTAAAGTAGCTCGCAATGGCGGTTTCTGTGTTTGACTGCTGTAAGAAGTCAAGCATCTTCAGGCTAGGCCCAGTCAGAGGGGCTGCATTCAGGCCCCAGCTGAAACCCCCTAACCTAGGAGGAAGCCGCGAGGCCCTGCCTGGCGTAGGTGGTAACTCTGCTGTGTCCATCTCTTTTGTGCCTGCGCCCTGGGCCGAGAGCCGGGAGTGCTATAACCCCGAGTGCACCGGTGAGTACCGACTGGCGCCGGGAGCTGCAGCCCTACCTCTCCTGCTCAGGGGAGGATCAAGGGCTGGTCTTGCCAGCAGCTCTGAGCCGGGAACTGGGGGTACGCTGGCAGACCCCCGGGCTGCCACAGGCCTCAGTGGGCTGCAAAGGGGCAGAGCAGCCGCCTCCAGAGAGAGGCCTGGGGCCTCGCTCTTTTTTATTTCATGAGCCACCTGGATATAAAAAGCTAAAGAATATGTCCGGAAAGACTGGATGATGGGCTGCATACCAGTTTTTCAGTTTTATCACCATTTAAAGGACATTCAACAGTTTTAGAAAGATATGTTTGAGGCCTAAAAAACTTGATAAAGTGTCTCACAAACCTAGAAAGTGAGCAAGTATGAACTGATTCTTTTTTATGCTTAGACTACTTCATGATCCTCCAGCAGTATAAAAGCAGCCTTCCAGGGTGGGTAAATTACATTTATACCTACTTGTAAGCCTCATTTTCACTGTCAGAGCATGTAAAAATCAAGCTTCTAAAGTTTCACATGCAAAAATGTTTTTATTTAGTTTTTTAAAGGGTAGTTATGCACATCGTAAATGTGTATTGTCACCATACAACAGCACTATACCAGTATATAGAAAAAATATACAAATGGGACAATGTTTGGTTTACAGTCTAAGTGTAAGTTAATGTGTGCCAATTCTTTTTATTTTATCTCAAGATGCAAGCCATTTAGACAACAATCCCATATTTAGGAGCCAAGTAGAGAATTCCCCATCTTCCCTATGCCTATATCTACCAAATTCTGTCACTGTTATTTTATACCTGGGGAGATTTCTTCACTTACCCAAGTAAAGAATAACCTATATGTCCTCCTTTATGACTGTCAGTATGTCACCACTGTAACTATATTTTTCCAAACAGCAAATGGCCAGTGGAACCAGTGGGGCCACTGGAGTGGCTGTTCCAAATCCTGTGATGGTGGCTGGGAAAGACGGATAAGGATCTGTCAAGGTGCTGCTGTGACTGGGCAACAGTGTGAAGGAAGTGGAGAGGAAGTTAGAAGGTGCAGTGAACAGAGGTGTCCCGGTGAGATGCAAATATAATCATTGTTATTATGTATACTACAGTATGGCTTACTTTAATTGTCATCTTTAAGAGACACAAGATCAATGTCCATGGAGCACTAGCTATAAAGAGACATATCTGGCCTTGTTTTAGACAAGTCACTGCTGTTTTTCCCAGTAGAATTGTATTTATGTAGGTGTGAACTAGCCCTATTGGATATATGAGCAATGCATCATGTTTTAAATAAATCAAAATACCGTAGTGTAAAAAGTTATCAGAAAAATATTTCATTGCCGAGGTATGCCTACATTATTTGGAGCAGCAATGATTTGCTACAGAAATTCTCTCTGAATGAACTGTTTCTCAGAATATCAGGGCTGGTTTTGTAAATCACGGAATTCCTTTTATCTAGTGTACAAGAGACATCTTTCTAATATATTTGGGGTAACTTTCAGTGCAGTAAAGATAAGGGAAAAAATGAACCTTACTGTACTGTATAGAACAAATGAATACATGAGCAACATTTTATAAAAAAGGAAAGTAATTTAAAATGAAAAGACACTTCTTTCCTGTTTTAATATAATGCTTAAATATATTTCTTTCCAGCATTTTTTACTTTGCCCTCCCAACATATTTAAGTCTTTCTGCTGAAAGCTAATAAAAGTGTACTTTTGAGCTTTTTCAAAAGTGATGAGTAAACAAGAACAGCTGGTGAATCTGATCTTTATCTGCAGACACTTTGTCGTAAAGTAAACAAATGCATTGTTGGGTAGGAGTAAGATAACAAAATAATGTGTAAGTAGTGTAGGATGTCTTAGCCATTCACTTGGGAAATTAGGTGTTCTGAACTGCAAACCAAGAAGCGGCAAAAATCAATCTAGCAATGTCTTTGATTTCTAGACATTTCAATG